ATTCAATAGCCAGGGCAGGTATTATTAGATCTTTTTGTAGATGAGGAAATTAAGGTCCCCAAAAGCTTTAGTCATCAGACTATGTGACAGGGTCACATAGCAGAGGCTGGAGCTACGACCTCCATTTTCCTAGGATCCTCAATCATTTGGCATCCGGCTCAAATTAGATGTCTTCTGGGGTTTCCAGAACTTGACCAAGCACACTGACTGGTTGACAGACAGACTTAGAAGTTAGCGCCCGCTGCCACTGCTCGTTAGCTGGGTGATCTTGGGCAACTTGCTTAGTCTCTCTAACCCATTTCACATTTATAAAATGAGGGTAATAATAATAGCATGGAGTTGTGGGCATTGAATGAGATAATGCAGGAGAAATGGTACTGTTCTGACACATTACGTAGTCAGATATTTTAATTGCAACTAATTATACCTGTTACATTGTTGATACTATTAGGGAACAAGAATTCTGTCATCTCCCTGGTGTTTCCCTCAAGCCTTTCACAGAGTGGATTCGGAGTGGATATTGTGGCACACAGTATTCTAGTGTCCACGATAGTTGAGTTTGTCAGTGGAAAAGGATGTAATTTGGGGTCAAATGAAACTGGATTTGTACTGCTGGCTTTACCACTGCATTTCAGTTATCATAAAATGATGCCTTGAAAGGAGCCTCACTCCTTGAAAGAGTTTTACAGTATTTGCTATGGTGGATCCCACTCTACTGTCAGTGCTTGGAAGTTGGCAGCCACAGTTATAGGTCCTGAGAATCAAAGACTAGGTTGGCAGTCAGTGAAGGTTTTATGAGATATTTGAACCTAGATCAGTCCCACTTTAGGTTATGGGGTAAAAGGGATGGGGTTAAACATTTCCTCTCTCCTTTTATATTCAGTGACTGGGGCCTGCAAATGAAACTGTGAAAGGCAGATTAATAGAAAAAGTTTATTTAGGATGCAGATTTGGGGCTCATAAAAGAAGTGAAAGGAGTGGTTAGGCCTGGGAGAATGTATGTCATTTTAATAAAGGGCTATAAATTATAGAAGAGTAATAAGACAAGGAAAAAGAGGCTTCTAAGTCAGTAAATCTGAGAAGATAAATATATGGGGGAAACAAATGGGAACTAGGGATTGTTTAGGAAGGTTTTTAAGGCAGACTCATCTTGGTGGGGACTTGCCAACTTCCATGACAAGGGTTTTCTGTTGTCTTAGTATGGGAAAGTGCCCAACTCTAAGATCAAAAAGGCCTAAATTTAAGCTTCTTTATTTATAATTACATGTACTTGCCTAACTGGACCTGTCTGGTGCAGTTATTAAAATTGTATTGTTTTGTTCTTTACTAAATTGAAAGGTTACACCTGAATTTTTTTTGAGGTTGTTATTATTTCATAACAACCAAAGAGGGAAGAATTGTATGACATACAACGTAGCAGTTGTGTGTCATGCATTAATTCAGTATAATTAGGTGTCATGCTAGACACAGTCAATATGCTTCACCTAGATTTTAGAGTTATCTTATATTCTGTAACAGTATTGTGAATGCTAGAAATTTTTTACAAATATTGGAAAAGAATAGGCCTTCTTGCTGGATGGATCAAATGTTTCTTTCTTTCCCTAGTCTTCTTTCATCCAGTCTCAACACTCAGTGCCACACTCGTGAAAGTCTCGTAGTAATAATCTTAAAACAGAGCATGCCAGTGTGAGAGAAAGGATATAAGGAAAGGCTGAGGGAGGTTGAATATGGTGGAAATATTCTGTACTCATGTATGAAAAATGAGATCTGTTGAAACTGTTCTAAGAATGGAAAGAGGAGGGATAAAGGAGAATGACGGAGGGGGGTGAATTTAACTAAGATATATTGTAAGCACTTTTGTAAATGTCACAAAGTATCCCCAGTACAACAATAATAAGATAATAAAAAGAAAAAACATCAGAGCGCTCTGTAGCTCTTAGACCTCTTGAAGTGGCCTGCCCATTTCCTGCACCATTAACCCCTCTGTTCATTCCCACCTGTTCCTGTGACATACCTCGCAAAGCTTTTCGTTTTCCTCTTCTGTGTACTCCTGAACTGGCAGTCTGTTCAGATGGTGTCCTGTACTCTGTAATATGGCCTCCCTCTGCCTCTACCCTTTCAAATTCTTGCACCAGAATCATGTCTCCTTGCCTGTCACTCTTTGTGCCTGTTGAAAATGGGCTTAGCCAGCCCTTAATTTTATATGGAAGAGTGTGTGTGTTCCTGTTAGTAAGTTATCACTATGTAATGCAGTATGTTTTAAACCATGTGATGCCTGTGTTCCTGTACTGTTGGATACTGCGTGTATCTCTGAGGTAATAATAGCTGGTGTGTTGGGGTCTGTGCCACATTCCAGGTGCTGTTTCAAGTGCCTTGCCATTAATTCCCATCATTTCTACCCTCCTAGGATTATTGTAATCCCAAGATATATCTTACTAACCTGCTATATTTCAACGTGTTTATATACATGGCATATATATTATTATGTATTTCGTGTTTAGATGTGCACACACACACACAGTCTTTCTCAGTCATGGTTTTTCAGTTGTAGAATTAACAAAGCAGTCTCACCTTCTGCCTTTCTCACATCGCATTTATGTTTCATTTACTTAGTAAGCATAATTCTTCCCTTGCAGAGTCCTGGTTAGGGTGAAGTAAGATATTATAAAAAGCATTTGGGTCAGAGAAAATTCTCCTCACATGCCAGGGCTTCCTTCCCATGGCCTATCTGCCTTAGCTAACTCCATCTTATTTGAATGAGTCCATCATCACTGGTAGAATAAGCTTCTTGTAATTCTTCCTAACCTCTGCGTGAAATTCCAGTTCAGGGTAAAAACGGCTTTGCGGGGAGGAAGGGAAGACATTGGAACTGGAGGAAAAGATGGGTGGAGGATTAGGGGAACCAACCTACAGTATTTTATTTCTTAAGATGAGTGGTGAGTACATGGATATTCTGTTTTTCTAAACACTTGTATATATTTCATTTGAAATATTTTATGATTTCAAGTAAACAAATAGAAAGCCTATATACTCATGTTACCACTAAGGTCCTTCCCTTGGAAGCAGTTGAAATGATCATTTTTGTTCACTGGCCTCCAAAAGCAAAGAAGAGAGTTAGGGGAGATTGTCAGTTGCCTGTGGGTCTCCTTGGCTTAGACAGAGGCATGGGGCTGGCTGCAGCAGGTGAGAGAGATCAGACATGGGCACCCTGTCAGGTCAGCTCATGTGGCCTGTCTTATGTTTTCCTGAGCTGATTCTCTATGTGAACTTGGGCAGTATCAGAGCTGCATTCTATCTTTTTTAATATCTCAGCCAGAAATGATGACAAGCACTGCAGGCATCATGAATTTTTAATGGAGTGATGATTAGAAAGCTGCTGGAGCCTCGGTTCATTTCATTCCATTGCCATGACTCCTCTTTCCTAGGTGCTCCTCAGTTCAGGCCTGTGTTCTGTGTGCCTTGGCAGTACTGAGGGCATTTGAAAATTAAATTTTTAACAATTTCATCTAAGTTCTTGAGTAGCCTTGGAGATTCTGAAAAGGGATTCAATGAATCTATGTCAACAAGTATTTACTGAATCCTAGTTTTATAAGTCCAGCTCACTGGAAAATCCACAGTGGTGTCTCTTGGATGGGGATGCAGAAGTAAACCAAGGTGATAACAAAAGAAATGCTATTTGGATTAAGCCATTAAAGATAGGACTTTGATACGTAGTTACTTGTCCATTCATTCATCCCAAAGCTGCTCTGCATCCTCTGTACCAGCATGCAAATGTGTAGTGCTTTGTACACCACAACAGAGGACAAGGGACATGAAGAATTGAATTGACAAGAGCATCTGAAATGATTTCACATAACAGAAGTACCCATCACCTCCCCTTACATTGCCAATACAAACCATCTTCCACACCTCACTTCAAGAATGTGTGGAAATGAAATATTGCTATCCATATGTCTGCACGATCAGGAACCTGGGTATCCCTGATGTGTGACAGTGTCTGCCACAGGAGTTGAGATGTTCTGCACAATTTAACAGGGCCATACTGGATGCTATTTTGATAACAGCAAGACCAGAAACAAAGAGACCAAAGGCAATAGATGATGTTGAAAAGATTGTTAGCATGGGGGGGTACAAAGTTGTCACATTTGGGGTGTATTTTAAAGGTAGAGGCACCAGGATTACCAACGTATTGCATCTGGTGTGTGAGAAAGAATGTATGACTCACAGGCTTCAGCATTATAACTTAGGAATGTTTCTTACCATTAACTGACTGTGTTAATGAACTGGAAAGAAGAGGTTGGGCATCCAAGTGGAGATTGAATAGGCAGTAGAATGTATAGTATTTAAGACTGTATTGTAGGGGTAGGCGCTGAACTTGGGATATCAATTTGAGAGGTGTCAACTAATACAAAACATTTAAAGTGGTAAGACTTAAGTTTGAGATCCCAAGGGAGTAAACATAAGTAGAGAAGAATAATTTCCTCAACATACTGAGGTCAGACAGATGAAAAACCAGCAAAAACAATGGAGAAGGAGTGGCCATGAGGTAGGACAACCAAGAGAGTTTAAACTCCTGAAAGCCAAGTGAAGAAGGTTTTTCATAGAGGTGGGAGTTAGTATTTATGGAGCGTTCACTCTGTTGAGAAATGTTTATATAGCTCATGTCAACTCAACACCATATCGCTGTGAGGTGGATGTTAGCCTCATTTTGTAGGTTGCACTTCGGACACTGAAGCAGGAGAATTGTGAGTTTGAGGCCAGCCTGGGCTACACATGTATAGAGGCTGTGTCTTAAAAAAAAAAAAAGAAGAAGAAGGAGAAGGAGAAAGGAGGGTAGGAAGGCTTGAGAACATTTGGTGTACTGCTAAAAATTCTGAACGTGTTCAATAAATGGTGCAATTTATCTGCTTTCCTCTCGAGAGTTTCCAGAGGTCAGTGTTCTAAATAACTCTTCATTGTGGAAAATAATACCTCATACTCCTTCCCTTCTTCTTTTTTAGACCATGTACAAAATGAAGAAAACTATGCACAAGTTCTTGATAAGTTTGGAAGTAATTTTTTAAGTCGAGACAACCCCGATCTTGGCACCGCATTTGTGAAGTTTTCTACTCTTACAAAGGAACTGTCCACACTGCTGAAAAATCTGGTAAGCCTTGTCCCCATGATGGAACAGAACTAACTGCATGCTGACCAGAACCTAAGGTCATCAAAGAGAGCAACTCCTTGCCCCCCCTTTAGTCCTCCATCCTGGGGGTGGAAATAAAATAAAAGGCTAGGTAGCCCAAGGTATGGAGGTCATTTTTTTTTAATCCCATTGGGAAATTTATGGGATTTGTACCTTTAGCCCAGCTGATAGCAGAGTAGATTTATTGAAACCAAGAGAAACTAGGTAACCTGAACTCTCTTCTACATTCTACTGCTGTTTGTTTTTAAGAAAAATTATAACAACTTTTGCTTTTTAATTGGTTGAAAGAGTGAAGATAATTTGTGTTGAACATGCATGGACATACACTTTGCAAGAACTGTGTGTCACCTGTGTGATATGGCCAATGCATCTTAGTACCTGGTTTAGGAATAATGAACTTCCCTTGATTCCACACATGATTTTAATCCACCTCTCCAAGAAAAAGGTTTTGAGATTTAGGGAACTTTGGTTTCAAAGTTGATGGCAGAAAGAATCCCTAAAAATCAGGACACTGGAGATGTTGACCCTAGGAGGCCAACGCAAGGATGGAGGGTGGGAATCTGTTTGCCAGGCCTGTCTGTATTGTGCCATACCCTCTTCCCCAACCCTCACACAGAAAGGTTCATTCTGGGTAACATCACAAGACTGACCGTGTAGACTGATTGGGCAGAAGTTCTTTAAGAGCCGTCATGTTTCCTTATGAATTAATCAAGTCCCAAAAGTTAGGGGTACAGTAAGTCCAAAGGTGCCAGAGGAGTGCAATTTGTTGTCATATTTCTCCTCACTTTGCCCTGCCCTGGGAATGAGGCACTGGTCCCTTGTCTCTCCTCCTCCTGCTTCCAGCATTGCACTTTTCCTTCTTTAAGGATCTAGATCCTAAACTCACATGTCCTTAACCTGGGTCAGTTATATGTCAGATGGGCTTCCGTGGCCTTAGGGATAATCCCATTATAAAGCCATTTGACACAGGCAGCTTAAGATGAAGACACCTACTTGAAAAATGACAGCTGCCTTTCTGCAGTCTGTTAACCTGAATATCTGACTAATCAAAATACTCTTTTTTTCTTATACTAGATAAACGTGTGTATCTGTCTTCCTGATAATTTAATTCCAGTTGGTGGTTTATGCCATTGATCTAAATTGACTACTCTAAAAGAAAGTAAATGTTGACTATAGAAATACTCTTTTCAAAAACTTGAGAAAGGATAATTTTGAATGTTCCTGTCTTTTTGGTTTAATAAGCCCATGATGTTTTGTAAAACCTTAGACTATTTAAATCTCTTTCATTCAGAAGAGGACCCTCTCATGTCCTCTTCCCTCTGGGTATTACCTGACATTGTGGTTGTTGGGTTGCTGAAAGGGTGGGTGGTGGGAAAATAGGGTGTGAAATAAGATTCAGTACTTCACTTTGATAATACTTGGCAAAAGACTCACTCAGGAAGTTTTTTCCCTGAGGGAAGCATTGTCACTTGGCTAACTTGCTCTTTTGGCTTCCAAGTATATTTAGCCTAAGTCAAAAGTCATCACCCTGTGTTCATGCACCAGTCTACTCTAAACTTTGCTGCTCAGCTCTGTATCAGTACATACTCACAAACCTGTCAGTCATTGGATACATTCAGATATCTTTATATAAAACAACTCGTGTTTATTGAAGAGCTTTGAGTCTGGCAATGTGGTGGGTGCCTTACATAAATTATCTCCATTTAACACATTTATAGATAAAAATCCTATGGTGATTATACCTTTAATCCAGCTGAGGACCCTGAGGCATGCTGAAATTATTGTACATTGTTCATCCACAGTGTTAGTAAGGAGACAGAACCCAGCATTCTGTCTATTTTGTCCTACCCACTCTTTATATACTGCCTGTCACTGGATGCCCTGGTTGTTCTGGCTCCCTGGCTTCCAGTGCTAATCTTCCTATTCCATTAGATACGCCCCAAGCTCAGGGCTTTTCCATGTCCATTCCCCTTTGTGGAGTAGAAGTCTAGGGAAAATCTAAAAGACATTGCTAAAAGACCTAATTTATTTTGCTAAGAAATTAAAACCAAGCCAGGTGTCAGTGGCTCACACCTATAATACTAGTTATTTGTGAGGATGAGATCGGAGGATCACGGTTTGAGGTCAGCCCTGGACAAAAAGTTCTCAAGACCCCTTGTCAATGGAAAAAGCTGGGCACAGTGGCAAACATCTGTCATCTCAGCTGCTATGGAAGATCACTGTCCAGGCAGTCCCAGGCGAGACCCTATCTCCAAAATAACCAGAGCAAAAAGGGCTGGAGGTGTAGTTCAAATGGTAGAGTACCTACCTAGCAAGCAGGATGCCCTGAGTTCAAACTCAGTTCCACCAACGAAAACAAATAGTGTTCTCTCTTCAAAGGTAGTGATAGCATTCTCAATAAGGGAACAGGCAGAAGAATTGGTTTTTACTGTAGTTTGGCTACTAGGGGAACAATATTCTGACTAAATAAAAAGGCAGTTCCTGTTGTTTCTACAACCTGACAACACCCAGAAACTGGCTGCTTCCCTTCTTAGGCTTTATCAAGAAAGAAAAGAGAGCAAAACTGACTAAGGTGTGCTCTTGAACAGAGGGCTCAGAGGGAGCCATGTCCTATCCCCTAAGGAGAGGTTCTGGATCTACTTGCAGCACCTCTAATCCCCAGCCAAAGAGTCTGAGGCGCACTCCATGGAAGCCAGTGTTCCTCAGAGTATGCCTAACCACCCTCTTTCCCTAGGCCATTGAAGGCCAGCAACAGTAGCAATAATTAATGTAATTGAAATGTCCATCTCACAGTGTAGAAGGCATTCAGTCCATCCCTAAGAGTCTCAAAGTCTTAACTGTTCCAGCATTATTCAAAAGTCTAAGTCCACAGTCTCTTCCAGCACTGAAAGAACTCTCACAATTCAGAAATAAAGCTGTTACATACTTTTAAGACACAGTGGTGGAAAAGGCATAGGGTAAACATTTCTGTTCCAGAAGGGAGGAATATGAAAATTGAAAGGAAGTTTCAGCCCAAGGCAAAAACCGAGCAGGGTAAACATTAAGTCCTAAAGCTCTATATCTGGCATCCAAGGCAGGTTTAGTGTTAGATATGGTGTTAGAATGCAGGCTCCCAAAGACTTGAGCAGCCCCCCCCCCCCCCCGACCCCTCACGGTCTTGTTGATTGTGGTACACATGGCCACTCTTTTGGGCTGGCTTTGCATAATGCCTATAGCTTTCTTTCCCTGGCAAGTGCGGCACATTGCTGGCATGTCCACCTTCGTTGGGTCTCCTCTGTGGCTTTGCCTTCAGTTTCACAACTTCACTTTGTGTTGTTGCCCTGTCGGGCCGCTTATGGGGATGCTGGCCCTGCAACACACTGCTTAGCCTCCCAGCCTTTTTTTTTTTTGAAATCTCGGTGGAAGCCACTTGACCCCATAACTCTTAACATTTGTGTGCCTGCAAAGTCAGCATGACATGGATGGTGCCAAGGTCTGTCGTCATCATAACTATCCCTAGGCCCATTTGAACCACAGATGTTCAGCCTCTGAGAGCCTCGCTGGCTGCACACAGGAAATGATTCCTTAGTTGGTTCTGCCCAGGCTCTTTTCCCAAATGAAAGTCTTTAAAACAAATTTTCATTTCTATGCCTTTGCGCCTGGATGGGTAGAGTGACTTTGCAAATTCCCAACATACTTAAGCATTCTTTCTATGGTCCCAATGCAAAGCCCTTGACTCTGAATAGGCACCAATAACCGACCATCCCCTCCTTAGAACTGTGTACAAAGACATACTCAAGAAAACAAAAAAGGAACATATGAAAAACTAGTAGATTTCAAGTAAGATCTATAGCGTAGTCATTTGCCTTGGGCAATGTCAGTATCTTGATTTTGTTAGCATACTGTATAAGCTGTTGCTTATGGGGGAAGGGATTGATGGGGTACAAGGGACCCTTCTGTACTATTTTTTCAACATTTTAGGAGTCTGAGTTCTTTTCAAAGTAAAAAGTTTAAATCAGAGTACAAGCCATCATATTCTAATCTGGGAGGTAAAGTAGGGGAATATGTCTGATAAGACATAGTTATGTAAAATTTTCATTGTAAAGCCAGTGTATCTCTGGTATTCCTTGACACAACTGACGTGCAGTCCTCTGCTCACTTCCTTTGCGCTTGTCTAGGTTTTGTAAATCAGTCTCCTGGTGAATTTCTTCCTCTAGTTGAAGTCCTGTGTGTGGTTGCTATTCTGAAAGGATGGAGTGATTCACTCTTTGCTCCCAGAAGTGAATCTGTTTGTAATGCTTGATTATATCTAGGAAATGCTGCCTCTTAGTGGTGAGAAGCCAGAGAAATGTGGGATGATCTGTTTTGTCCTTACTTTTAATGTATCTCTGGTGTCATTTTAAGCGCAAGAACTTCGAATTTAAGGAAACTTCGGTAAAAAGAATTAGTCACTAGCTTCTTAGCTGTGTGTGGCAGATTACTTGAGTAACCCATGGGTCTTAGTTTCTTCACTTCTGTAAAATGTAATTATTAATCCTTCTTGCCATGTTCACTCATTATTCAGGTGTTTATTGAGGTTCTGCACAAGCACTGTGACTCAGCAGGAAGGAGATGGTCATGAGAACAACACAGAAAAGGCCTTGTCCCATTGAAGTTTGCATTCTGTAGTAGCATTTTTATAAATAGTGTACGTCAAGTATCTATTGTAGCAGTTGGTTTGCAGTACATGCTTAGTACATAGTAACATTTTTTAGTAAATTATTAGAACTATTTCTTTAGTGGACTTCCCCATCTCTCTACTTAACTTTCTTCTGGTTAAAGGTGTTTCCTAATAATCAAGAATGGCTCCAGACAGAGTAAAGCTGCTTGTTCTTCCCAGAACCTACAGTATTCCATGCTTCCATGCCCTGGTACATTCCATTTTTTTCTACTCTGGGGCCCTTTAGCACTTAATGTATTCGTGTTTTACAATCGTCCCTGGT